CTCTCAAAAAAAAAAGAAAGAAAGAAAAGTTCTTACGTAGTCTTTGCCGACTATTTATATCTAACATTTCCTCCTTCAGCTGAACACCTAACATTCTCAAAGATAAAAGGATGATCCAAGAAGATTTTTACTTCAAAAACTTTGGACGATGAGTACACACGCTAAATAAACATTATATTGCCTGAAAGACTTTCTTTCCAGTCAAAGTATATTGACTCAGGATAATACAGCCCCAAACTATTCTTTAAAACCTTCAGGGCCAGATTTATTTCAGAATTTTCTCTCTCCAAATTTGTTTCAGAATTTTTCCCTCTCCTCTTCCCTGTTTTGTTTTTTTTTTTTTTTTTTTTTTAGCAGTGTTGGAGATCAAACCCAGGTCATTGCATATGCTAGACAAAGGTTCTACCGCTGAAATATACCTCCAGCCTTGTAATTTTTAAGTTCAGAAAGATACAGTATATTGTGTAATGTTCCTCACAGAATATGGAGCATAAGTGGGGCAAATAAAAACCATACATAAAGAGACTGTCATCACTTCAAGTTTACTACCAAATAAGTTCGGGTCAAATTTTGGTGCAAATGTACAACAAAGAAAAATAAAAATTCTCTTGGTTCTCACAGAAGTTTGGATTTGGGAACTTAAAGAACTGGGGGTTTATAATCTATCCTGCAAATCAGAAGCTCTAAGTGTTTACTTTTGTTCTGTTTTGTTTTTTGAGACACAGTCTTGCTATGCAGTACAGGTTGACCTTGAACTCACTATATAGCCCAGGCTGGCCTTGAACTGTCAGCAATCCTCCTGCATCAGCCTCCCTAGTGCTGGGACTTACAGGTGTGCACCACCACATCCGGCATCTAAGTTTTTTGTATCTTTCTTTTAAATAGATTTCAAACCTATGAAAAGTATGGAGCATAGTATAACAAGCCCCCATTAAATGATCAGTCAGCTTAATTATCAACAGTTTTTAACTAGTTTCGTTTTTTTTTTTAATAAGAAACAACTATTACTAGGCAAATACTGTTTAGTAGAAATATCTCAAAATAGCGTTCTGGGAGGAAAACATCCAATATACTAACACTTTTCTGTTTTTGAGAGAAAGGACAGTGCCTTCGGTGACTGATAATAAAGGTTACAAGATAGTGCCTTGCAACTCTTCTTGGCACATCCGAGGGATACAGGATGCGATAAAGGGCATCTCACCAAGCAGTGTAGAATAAGTGGGTGCCCACTCAAAGAAGTAACCCTGAAGTTCGCAGCTTTGTGGATTTTAGCCCAGGATACTACCTGTGACTTGACCTTTGGCCACAGCTCGTGATGAAACCCCTCCCGCTGTTTTTCCGCCCGTCCCAACCCACACTGAAGCAGGACAGCGGGGCAGGCACTCACATCTTGCATGGCCCGAGTGCGGTGATCGGAATTGATCTGGTCCCGGAGCTAAAGAAAGGCAAACAGTGACACAGACTGTTAAGAGTCCAACAGTTGAAAAGGCCGCCCTGGGGCGGTGCTTCCCCGCCGAAGTCCTAGCGGCTGCAGCAGAGGATCCTCCGAGGTGCTGCGCCTCGATTAGACCTTACCAAAGCCAGAGCCTATACGGAACCCCGTGCAGAGGCAAAGCGGCGCGGGGTGCGGGGAGGGGAGGGTCTGGGACCAAAGAAGGCTCTCAGTGGTTAAACACGGACCAGGGGTCCAGCCTATGTTGTAGCTCCTGCCCACGCCCCGCTCACCGTAGACTTCTTAGTGAGCATCTCTTTGGCCATTACGTCCATGAGCCGTTCCTTCTCCTCATGGTACCGCCGCTGCTGCTCTAGAATTGTCTCCATAGTCCCTACGCGACAGCACAATTCAGGCCACGGACACGACCGGAAGCAGCTCCTACCGCCTTGAGTACCGCGTCCATTAGCTACGCATCCGGCTGCGCCAAAGTTCCGCGAGCGCCGGAAGCGCTTCGGGAACGCCAGAAAAAATGAGCACCGCAAGAAAAGCCGATCTGTGCTACCGAGACGGCAAGAGTGCCCCCTGCTGATCGGAGGGGTAGAGACGTGATACCCAGTGGTTCTGGGATACCTCTTAACCTCTTAACAGGTACACAAAAATCTGGGAACCTGAAAACTAGTGACCGCTGATTTCCTGAGATATTTTGGTGGCAGCTAGGCGACCAAGAACAATAGGTGAACCACGCGATCAGGGACACGTGGAGCATGAAGAGTTAAAGAATACATGTGAGTTGGGAAACTGAAACTTGAGTCTGTAGTTTTCAGTTTGATAACATTTATTCCCTTCTCTGGACCGTATTGTCTTTCTCAGTAAAATGGGAGCGAAAGTGTTTTTGTTTTAACGAAATCCACATGTGAAAACAATCTCGTCCATTAGCAAGGGATTCATCGAATAAAATACGCAAGCCAAATGCTCTGTAAGTATCTTTAAAAAAATTTTTTTTTGTCCACTTGTAGGTGAAACCATGTCGATTTGTTCAGATTAGCCCAAATTTATTAATAGCGAATGCATAAACATAATGATAGATATAGTAAAAATACACACATATATATATATATATATATGCAGTAAAGGAATGCTACAAAAGTGAATCATCAAAGGATCATGCTACATAAAGCAGGCAAATACAAATATGCCACAGTGTATGTCCAGGTGAAATGTCCAAACAGAGACCATGGTGACTCTGGGTAGATGAGCGGTTGCTTGTGACTGGAGATGAGATTGGAAGTGACACAAATGGGCATGAGCGAAAGAATGTTCTAAAACTGGATTTTAGTAATATGGATATGCAGCTTTGTTAAATATTCTAAAATTAATTGAATTATACATTTAAAATGGATGAAGCTTATGGTATGTAAATTAAACCTCAATAAAGCTGTTAAAAAAAGCTTTATGAACTCATGGAAAGATGACCACAGAAAATGAAAAAAGTTAGATACACGGAACAGTGTAAAAATATATGTCTGAGATTATTTGTGTAAGGATATCCAATTCACGTAAACAGTAGCTGTTTCTGAGGGTCTGGCATAGAAACTTTTCTTTGTACATAACCATATTACTGCATGAAGTTTTTTTTTTAATTTATTTTTTAACATACACATGTTACTTTTTCAACTTTATTTACTGATTTTTTTGGTCTTTTTCTTTTTTATCAGTACCAGGGATCCAACTCACAATCACACACTTGGAAGGCAGGCGTTTATGCCGCTGAGCTAAATCCCCATCCCCTACTTTTTCAACTTTAAACTGGAAGATCTGGGGTATAGCTCAGTGGTAGATCACTTGCTTAGTATGTGCCAGGCCCTTGCCTAACATGTGTGAGGATTTGGTCCCCAGCACTAAAAATAAAATAAATAATAAATAGGGTTTGAAATGTTAAACCTAGAAAACATTTATATGGAAATAAATGAAATATAGTGCCGAACCTGCGTGTATCTTTCCTTTATTTGGGTAGTTAGAACACCTGAGCAACATCCTTGTGTCAGTCAGCCTCAGACCCTTCCCCTAGATGCTTCTCCAGATGTACTCCCTCAAATCAGACACCAAATCTTTTCTCCTTCAGTTGCTGCTACCTGCCTCAGGCCACCTCGCCTGGATTACTGCCCCACCTGTGCGAGCCTGCTCATTTTACCCCTCAATCCTCCATTATTCATGCACAGACACAGTGATCTCTCTAAAACCCAGACCCTCACCTGCTCCTGCTTAGAATTCCCATTGGCTGCTTTATGGGGTGGGTGAGGTCTGTCTAACTTGGCGATTGGCTTTTTCGGACCTGGGCCAGCCTGCCCTGCAATTTTACTTTCTTGGCACTTCCTCTAAATACAATTACTTGTTGCTTCCCCAAGTACCATATGCTTCCAAGCTTTGCACCAGCTGTTTTCTACGCTTAGACTGCTCTTCCTAACCAAGTATTTGTTGAACATGTAGTAAGTGCCGGGCGCTGAATAGGGCTGGGCAAGGCAGGCACGTGAGCCCCGTCGTCCTCAGACCTGTGGGAGCAACAAAAATGCAACCATATAATTATGAACACCCGTGTTGGGCGTTCATACAGGTTTCCTGGGAATGCCAGTCACGACCTCAGAAAGTTGAGTCAAATGGGGCTCAGGAGGCAGCCTAAAGCGGATTAGAAACCCGGGATGTGCCAGTGACTACCTATGTAACTCCGGGCACTGACGATGGGAGTCTCCACCTCTGTGAAATGGAGATAACAATACATATCCCAAGACTGGAGGGGGTAGACAACGATTTCTCAAAGTACAAAGCATCTGGTGGTTTCTTCCTGGCCTCGCTCACAGGAGCCTGGGTCACCACCCGGGAGGTGGCCTGGTGATCCGGGACACACGTACCTGCCCATGACAGCCGGCCCGCTGCGTCAGCCAGCAGCCCGCGGGGAAGGAGCAGGGGCCTTCCGACGCAGGGCCGGGGAGCAGTGCTCCGCCCAGTCTCCCCACTTCGCTGGACAGCCTCCCCGGCTCGTTCCCGCCCCCGCTCTTGAATCATGGGGGGGCGGGGCCATGACCCATTCATGCTGGGAATCGGATCCAGATGTTCCTGCGGCGCGTGCAGCTGCATCCTTGCCTTTTTTGGCAAAAAACGTGTGGCCGCGAGCGAATCCCGGGCCGCCCCCGCGGTTCCTTGGGAAGTGGGGGAAGGGGGCTGAGGGTCTGGGCTTGACTGGGGAGCAGGCCTGCGTGTTCCCATTGCGGGATTTGGGCTGGGCTGTTAGGAGAGGGGGCGATGTGTACCAGACAAAGAACCCACTGCCACCGGCCAGCGTCTGGGACCTCCCCTGGTCCCTCCCTTGTCCCTTCGAGGAAAAGCCCTCTGCCGGGGCGGAGAAGGCAGGCCAGGCTGAAGGACAGCGGCTGGCCCCGGGTTAGGGGTGGGGGTGGGGGATCCCCTTCCTGGAGACTTCCTACCCCAAGTCCCATCCACCTTACCGGCTCCTCAGGACTGGTAGAGCCCTCGCCCTGCACCTCCCCTCCCCCACAAACACACGCAGACCTTTGCTTCCTCATACTGCTTTATTGCAGAATCTGGAAGGGGGTTGAGCCAATCCCCCTGCTCTGCCCATGTCTGAGCAAAATGGAGCTGAAATACAATAAAAGATGCTTGATGGACACGGACTGGGCAGTATCCTGTACCTTAAGACCCTTTAACCAGTGAGACCCCTGATTTACCGCAGGAACAACCCCAGCCCTGGGGGTATGGGTGGGGCCAAGCCCGAGTACTGAGAGGACTTCTCCTGTACCCACAGGAGACCTAAAATAATCTATGCAGAGAAGCCTAGATTTTTTTTTTTTTTTTGTCTTTTTCCTTTTTATCGGTACTGGGGATCGAACTCCCGACTGCCTGCTTGCAAGGCAGGCGTTTATGCCGCTGAGCTAAATCCCCAGCCCCTCAGAGAAGCCTAGATTTAAGGGGACCAAAGTCCCTCAGCATTTGGAGGGCTGTGGTCTAGATCCTGATTGGAAAAGGAAGCTTGGTACGGGAATCCACACTGTAGGGATGAGGGCTGGGTTTTACAGTTGGAGTGGGAGCCTGAATTTGCCTGAATTGTGGATGCTTCTTAGAAGTCCAGGTTGGGAGCTTGGGTGAGGGAATACCAGCTAGGGTATGCTGGAGTAAGGAGACTGAATCCTGGAGCCCAGGGGAAACCCCATTCTGGGGAGGGGCTGGGTTATAGAGGTGGTTCAGAAAAGGAGCCATAGTCCTGGAGTCCTGGTTTGGGAACGCCCAGGCCAGGAGCTCTAGCTCAAGGTGCTGCCTGGCTGCAGCTCTGGCACAACACTTGGTCTCCTTCTGGCACAAAGCCTTGGCCCACCAGGGAGGTGGAGCAGCGTGCACAGGAGAAGCAGCTGTGGTGCCAGTGCCGATCTTCAAAGGACACGTACTTGCCTCCACCAAGTCCTAGAGGGAGGCTGGAAGTTAGCTCTGTAGATCTAGGGGCAGCCGTGCCCCTCACCCAATACCATTATCCATGCCCTGGCCTGCACTCTACCCACCTGTCCCACCGGTGATGGGGCGCTTGCAGCTGCTGCACTTAGGTGCAAAGAGTTCTCCAAAACAGGCCACACAGTAGGGATCGTCATCCCGAGAGGTGAACTGTTGCCCTGCCAGGGGTGTCTCACATCCAGTGCAGACCAAGCATTCTCGATGCCAGGGCTGATCACGGTAAGTCACTCCACCCTGGGTCAGCGTCTGTGGGGGCAGAACCCATCAGCAGGATTCCCACCCCATGACAGGCCTTACCCCTATCCCGCTGACCTGGCCCCCACCTTGCTGCAGCGGGCACAGCGAGGAGCAAACTTGTTCTCATAGCAGGGCACGCAGTAGTGAGCACCTTTGTCGGGCACAAAGGAGCGGGAGCCCAGCGGCTGCTCACAACCGCTGCACAGGAAGCACTGCTCATGCCATGTCTGGCCTCCATATTCTAGCTTCCGGGACCCTGTGGGGAACAGGAGACCCACTCAGAAGCTGTGTCCCGAGGACCTAAAGGCCACTCTGCTCCCCTCCCCAGGATTGTTCCTACTGCTCCCATAGACTAAGCAGGATGGTGTCCATGCACATGCAGCAAGACCCCCACCATGTATACTCTACATGCTAACCTCTCCCCAAACAATGACATGGTAAGATGGCTCAGCATGTGTTAGGACCCCAAAACCAGACAAGAGGGTGTTGGCACATGTTGTCTCCTTCTGTCTCAGATAGGTCTATCTTAACACACGTCAAGTCTCCACATAATAGGTATGTTGTCTCAGTACATGCTAAGCTTTATAAGTCAGAAATGATAGTTTAACATATACACATGGTCCCACGTATACCAGACAAGCAAATCTGCCTACATAAAGTTCTAATGCCCTAGGCATGATCGGTTCAGTGCATGGTAAGCTCTTTCATGTTCTAGGCATGACACTGTCCACATGTGCTAAGTTTTCATGTCTATTAGGCATGCAGGTCCTTGCAAACTTTAATGTCTCTTTTTGAGCTCTTCACATACAAAGCCATAGTACGCCAAGCACAACAGTTTCAGTATACCCTCAGCTCCTACATGTACCTAACATGCAGGTCATTACACATGCTAAGCTCCCAAGTATGTATAAAGCATGCCAGCCCATACATGCTAAGCTCCCAAGTATATACCATAAAGTCCAGTACAGGCTAAGCTCTTAGAAATGTACCAAGCTTGTCAGTCTCTGCACCTGCCAAGCTTTCATTTGTAGATCTGGCCAATCCCTATGTACAATCACTAAGCTCCCAAGAGCATACAGGCACAACTGATCCCGCACACACTAAATTGCTAGAAACATGCCGTGTATCTACACATCAAGCTCACATGTGTGTATTAGGGACCTGCAAAGACCCTACACAGATACCAGGCATGCCAGTCTCCATAGGATGAACCCCCAGGGACATACCAGGCATGACGGTTTCCCCACAGGCAGAGCACTGTGAAGAGAAGGCACTGCAGTAGCAGTCATTGCAGAGCAGCTCATTGTCCTGGCAGGTGAAGGGTTCATCAGCTAGGGAGCGCTGGCAGCGGCAGCAGCGGAAGCAGCCCTCATGGAAGTGGCGATCCTCATAGAAGAGCTCCTACAGGGAGCACAGAGTGGTACTGGCATCTAGGCCTTTGCTCCCTCCCCCCAGCCTCCGCCCACTCCCAACCCTGTTTGGACTGGTCCTTACCCTTGAGTCATGCCCAATAAGCTGCTGGCACTCAGCACAGGTGTTAGCGAAGGTGTTGTCATAGCACGGCACACAGTAGGGGCCACTGTCTGTCTGGATATACTTGCGGCCGTACAGGGACTCACTGCATTTTGCACAGTCAAATGGCTCACCCATGGTAGCGATGAAAATGAGCCCTGTTTAGGAATATGAGGTGGAGTAGGGGTCACCCGGAGAAGGCCCAGCCTAGCCTTTGCCAAGAGAACTTTGAATTCAAAAAAGAACAAGAGAATAGGCACAGGAAATACCAGATCAGAGCAGGTGGGGATGGGGAAGGGCAACCAGGTCTCTTGCATATTTATTTCTGTGTCTGACTCTAGCGGTAGGAAAAGGGGGGGGTGTCAGGAAAAAAAATCAGGAAGCAGAAGTTGTTTTCTTATCTAGGGCCTAGCAGATCTGCGGGGAAGGGGCTTTTCCTGGGTCGGTGACTCACTTCCTGCCCCAGCCTCTCACTTCCTGCCCCTGTGTCTTAATGCCCCAGGGTAGGAGCAGGAGAATGACAGTCACTCATTCTACCTCCCACAGCCAGTACTCTCACCTTCAGACTTCCAGGAAGGGACCCTAGGAGTAGATAAAGGATCCCGGGCTGAATTGGGAGATTAGAGGGCAGAATGGGCTGTTCTGGCCTCCTCGTGATCCAGAAACAGTGGAATGCTATAGGGATAATGGACTGATGACTGGTGGAGGCTGGGTGTGAGAGGTTGGCCTCCTCTCCCGGGACAATCAGCCAAGCAACAAAACCTGGAGAAGCTCAGCCTAAGTTTAAGTGGCAGGAAATCCTGCAAGCTGGATACAGTCAAGCTTCCCCCAGCTGGACCCTCTGCCCTCATTCCTCTTCACCCTTGTGTTGTCTCTGGTCACACCATCCTGGACAGGCTTGGCTGTAGCATTTGCAACAGCTGTGGCAGCACAGTATGGCCAGATGTCAGGTTTTGCCAGCAACAGGGAGAAAAAGGGAAAATGTGATGCCTGTGGAGACAGAGGGGGACTGGAGACAGACTGAGAGCAGTGTGTCCCTTGCCACCTCCTGCCAGGCATCCTCCACCCCCTGTAGTGTCTGCAGAGCCCCTGCAATATGAGCCTCATCCCCTGACCCTGAAGAAGCAGCCTGGCACCATCTCTTCTGATATTTTAGAGGTTGGGGGGGAGTGAAAGGCACCGTAGCAAGCAAAAGCCACAGGGGATCTTTTTTCCCCAGTCAGGTCCCCCTTGGGTGGGGAATAAGACATGGGGAGCCCTGTGAGCTCTTAGGGCAGACACCCAGCCCCCCATCAAACCTCAGACACTTTCCATTTTCTCAGGAACAAAGCATGTTTGCGGGATGAGGTCATCTACACAGCTGCCTCTGGAACGGGAGCATGGGGAGTGGGGGGAGGGCTTGGGGGGAAGTGGGGTTCCTAGCCCTTTCTGCTGCTCAATTGTCTCCAGTTCCCAAGTCAGAGCTCCCCAGCCCTGGCCTCCTCCACCATGAAGCCTCCTCTCTCTGGGCTGGGACATGAGGTAGTGCAGAGAAATCAGCAGGACCCAGAGGAAAGGGATGTGCTCACAACTACAGTTAAAGGGACACACAGAAGAACCCACTGATCTACTTCCCCTCTCCAGCAGACTCCACGGCAGTCTCCAGAGCCTGCCCTGGCTCAAGCTGAAGGAAAAGCCCTCCTCTTTTCAGCCACTCACCGCCCCCAGTGGGAGATTCTCACCAACAGTGTAGCTCTGACTTAAGTTCAGACTTCAGGCACCAGCAGACATGCCAACCTTGGAAGGCCTGACTTCTAGGGCTTGTAAGGTCAAAGCTTCTCTTCCATGCAATGGAAGAACACTCAGTTCATATCCTAGGCAAAGTATGAGGCCAACAGAGCTGGAATCATTTAAGAGTGGGGACTCCTAAGCTAGGAGCTATGCTGTAGGGTAGAGGGTACCCCTTCCTGCCACTTAGGTCCTGGTTTGTTCTGGCCCAGCATCTGAGAACCACCTGGGCTGTCAGCCACTGAGCAGCACAGGGCCATGCAGGTGGAGAGGAGACACTTGTCCATCTGGGAGAACCCTGGGTCCTTTCCTTCCTGGCCTGGCTAGGTGCAGGAGCCACCTCTCCAGGCCCAGGCTAGTCACGGGCCTACCCCCTGGAAGCCACTCACCACTCTGAAACAGGCACCTCAAATGGGTGTGGCTTGTGTTTCTTTCCCAGCATCCCCCAATTCAGCTAGGCTCTAGTGAGGTCGGAGTGAAGGGCACTATCAAGGCCCACCTGTTTGTGCCCATCCCTCTCCCTCCCCCACTTTCCCTGGCAAAGGTGGGGAACAGAAAGGTTGAGCGGGGAGCCAGCCTCGAACTTTTAGTCAAGGGGGTGGGACAGGGTTCAGGGGAGATTGCTGAGTCTGTCTGGTTGCCATTAGCCCCTTCCCCACCAGCATACACATCCCTACATCTGACCTCGACATACACACACATGCACACACACGTCAGTGAGCTGCCTGTAACTCAGAATTGTGTGCTGTGTATAGAGGTTCAAACTATAAAATATAAACCAGGTTTGGATTCTATGACTTTGGGCAAGTGACCTAAATGTCCTGAGCTAGTGTGGCCATGTAATTGAGCTAATTCTATCTCCTAAGCTTTTTTCAAGGCTTAAACGGACGATTCCAGAAAGCACCTGAAGACAATAAGTACTCAGTAAATGGAACCTATTTGTATTTTTACTGTGAGTCCCCCACTCATATCGAAGTCAGACTGTAGGTTTTAGACAGGTCTGAGGGAGGGAGCTGGCCTGGGATGCGACCTGAACAATATTGTGGTCTCAAAGAGAGGTCAGGAGATCCCAGGCCCATGGATCTTGCTGAGGAGACTCTTGGGAACAGCAATGGTTCTAACAGTCTGATTCCAGTGAGCGTAAGTTGGGGATTGCTCATACACAGGTACACACACCTGTATGTTGCTGTATCCCTCAAAAAGTACATGCCCACCACCACATCATCAGATCTCATAAAGGCAGGCAGGGCAGAGTGTGGTCCCCACTTTACAGCAAGGGATAAGGAAGCCAGGAGCAGGCAGGGGCATGCCTGAAGTTCCTCAGGTATCACAGTCAGGTCTCTGGCCTCTGGGCCTGGGACCTTTTCCTGCTGCCCTCTCCCTAGAAATGCTTCCTTGATGGTAGAAGAGAGGATGGTCAGCTTTTAAGGGCAGAGGAATGGGAGATAAACCAGAGCCTGGCTCTCCTTCTTAGCTGCCAGCTCTGTGACTGGAAGACACCCAGAAGCCTTTCCAACTACCCATGCCAACTGCTTACCCTGTCCTCCCCCCAACCCTCACTGTCCAGGAGGACCCTGGCCAGGCCTCACAGCTGTGAGTCAGGATCAGAACAGACCCCTCCCCCAACGCCCAGGAGTTGACAGGAGACTTGAGAGGAGAAATCAAAGTGCCCCCACTCTATTCTTGCTACTGGGCATCAACCCAACCCCGAACTCTGTTCTTCTCCTCCCTCCCCCAAGGGGCCTGGAAGTCAAAGGAGTTTAGGGGAAAGGGGGTGGGGAGCAGATCCAGCAGCTGCTCTGGGGACAGGAGAGGAACAGTTCATTCACCCTGGGTCCCCCAGGGCTAAAGCAGCCGTCCAAGATTTGAGTTTAAAAATAAGCCAAAGCTGTGTTATGGCACTGTGTGCATGGGGCTCTTTCTTGATCTTAGTCTCAAAGTCTGGGGTCCTCTCCCTCTTGGACGATTGGTTGGCTTTCAGTCTGTTTTCCCCTTACCTTGCTTTCCAATCTCCCAGGTCTGGCCCTCTCAGGGTCTGTCTTGGAGATGTCAAGATACCCAGGCCATTCGGTCTACATTAACGCTCAGTCTGTTCCCCGCTCACCGCTCAACCTCCCCGTGTCTGGCACACTTTGCCGCTGTCTTTAATTCTGGGGGTATCTCCTATTTCTGCGTACTCAGGCCTTGAACTCTTAATGTGTTGGTCCCACCATCCCCCTTCACGGCATCCAAGCCTCTTCTCTCAGCATCTCTATCTCCTGTCTCTGAATGTCTGCAGGCAGGCCCGGGGGATTTAGCACGAGGCTAAGGAGCCTTGAGCCTCAGGGCCCTCGGTGAGGCCCTAGCAATTCGGTCACTGGGGTTACACGTATGCTTTTCCTTAACACACTCCACAAAACCCTAGTCCGCCCCATGCCTCTGGTCCCTGCTCAGAAAGTCTGTAGGTCCAGCCTCTGACCTCCTTTCAACGGTCTCTCTGGTCTCCTGTCGCTCGTGTCTCTGTCTGCTTCAGGGCTTTTTGGGAGCCTCAGTTTTTCCAACCCTCCAACTCTCTTTGGCTTTCCAATTTCAAACTTGGTCTCCCTAACCCGACCAACTCTCGCCGCCCCCGCCCCACTGATCTGCGGGGAGCGCAGCCGGTCCCGTCCGCGGGCGATCGCTCTCCGCGGTTCGGCCGAGGACGCCAGGACCCTGCAGGCTCGGGGCGGCAGCGCGGCTGCCCCCGGCCGAAGTGCGCGGCGGGCCCTGGCGCCGGGAGCCGGGGCTGCGGGGCGCTCACCTCGAAGCGGGCGCGCGCGGAGCTGGTGGGGTCCTCCGCGGCTCCTACCTGCGGGCCGGGCCGAGCTGGGCCGAGCGCGCCACGGCTAGGCAGCCGGCTGCAGCGGACGCGTGGGCGAGTGGGCGCGCGGCCCCAGCCCTCCAAGGAAGTGCGCGCCGGCCCGCCCCGCTCCCGGACCCCGCCCCCAGCCCCCCAGCCCCGAGGCGGGGGCCAGACCCCGCCCCAACCCCGCGCAGTCTCCGGCCGGCCCGGCAGAACCTGGCTCTCTTACCTTAGCTGCAGCTAGACCCTGTCCCGCCCCCTCCCTGCCGCGCTTGGTGTCCTTGCTCTCCCTCCCTGCGCACGCAAAGCCCAGCTGCGCGGCGTGCGGGACCCAGCGGGCTGGGTTGCATCTGAGGATCCACTGCCCTCGGGCCTGGTGTTCTCCCTCATCTGCCTCCCCCACACCCTCGTTTGCTCCCAGGGGTTCCACTAAACCTGAGTTAGTAAAGGAGGCCTTCTTAGTCCAGCAGCACAGAGGGAGTGGTTGGCTCTGCTGTCTTGATCCTGTCAGTGGGGACCAAGGCGTTTTCTGGGAATTTGGGGTGAAGAGAGGATCCTGCTTTCCCCACACACATAGGGCCTTGACCTTCAAAAGGCTTTACTTCCTAATTCTGAGTGTTGAAACCCTTTTTAACTGGCTTGCCACCTCCCAACTGCATCCTGGCACTGAAGAGTCCTGCCTGTTTCCATGGAGGCCAAGAATAGTTTTGACCTTTGAGACCTAGGGAAGCCCTAATCCCTGACCCTATGCCCTTTGGGCTTCTCAGGAGGGATGTGAAGGTGTGGGTGGCTCTAGTGCTATGGGGGTGGGGGGAATTTCAGAAGTTTCTAACTCTGGCTTTCTGTGCCTGGCAGGGAAGACTGGCCCCTCTGGAGCTTTGGGGCCAACCCCCTCTGTCCACAGACTTGTCACTAGGAATAAATAGCCTTGGCCTGGGTAGCCACGATGGGGCTGGGGGTAGGGAAGCCTCAGCTGTGCTGTTTGCAAAACAAGGGACAACAAATAAAGTGTGGAAATAATCTCAGCATCTCAGTGGAGATTCCGGTGACCACAGAGAGGAGCCCCGCACCCCAAGCTCCCCCAAGCTCCCACTGCAGGGACTAACACCTTCCAAGGCCACCACTCAGCTTCACCCTGATCTTTGCATCTTGTGCCTGTACCTGGGTCTCCACATCGGCCTCCAGGGCAGGTTTCCTTTCAGAATTGGTTGTTTATTGTTATTGATGTTTAAACTGTAAGGGCAGGGATTATCTCCTGTTTGTTCACCATTGCATTCCAAGTACCTGCTCCATGTAATAAATAGTAAATGAATGAATGACACTGTACCCCGACTCCCCTTTCCCTTTTTTTTGTCTTTTTTTTTTTTTCCTTTTTTATCAATACTGGGGATCAAACTCATGACTGCCTGCTTGCAAGGCAGGCGCCTATGCCGCTGAGCTAAATCCCCAGCCCCTCCTTCCCCTTTTGGACGACAGGAACTTGCTATTTGAAGTTCAGGAAGAGAACAGCCAGCTTGTGTGTGTGCCTTTTCTCTGGGGTTTGTCTTGCAGTTTTATAGGACCACCAGCCAGGGGATGCAGGGGAGAGTATGTACTTTTCTTGGCTGGAATGCACAGCAAGAGAGGGGGACCATTGCCTCGCAGTGAAAAGGTGTGCAGAGGTGAGCAGCTTCAGAAAGGAAGGGGTTACAAATGAGCAATAGGTGTTGGATAAAAGGCAGTTTTACTTATGGTTTGAATATTTGCGGAATAATATCCTTAATGAGAACCAGTATCTCCCAAATTCTTACTTTGCACCATTCCCTAAATACAACACATACTTAATTATCCAATAACTTTATTAAACATATGGTTAGCCTCATTTTACACACGAGGCACAGAGGCTCAGAGAGATTAAGTAATTTGTCAGAGACGACACAGCTAAAAATGGCAGAACCAGGATTCAAAGTCAGTCTGTCAAATGTCGAAGCCCCTTATCCAAAACTAAGCTTACTGTCTGCCATCACTTCACTTTTGCAAGCCTTTGACTCATCTACTGGGAGTAGCTGACTGTCTCACAGCTTTGTACTGGATGAGAGCACACAATAGGTCTTTAGTATGTCCCCACCCTGCTTTCAAGGTCAAATTGGGAGTCTGGAGGTCACAGAAAGTTAGACCAGCCTGGGGGAGGGGGTAAGGGGGCTGTATCCTTTCCCCTTATCATTTCCAGCTCCCCAGTGGGCTCACATTGGCCTGCATTTTATTTCCATTGGCCCAGGAAGACAAGCCCTAGGGAGTTCAGGGATCAGACACATGGACTCCCTGTTCCCCATCTGTCCTCTCCCCCCACCCTGGGAAACAGGTGTGTTTGAGCCCGGGCTGGAAGCAAAGACCAAGTACTGGATGAAAGGCCTTGGGTACAGATCTCAACAGCCTTTCCTGTCTCAAGCTCAGGGTTCATTTTGCATGAGTTTTCAAAAGGAGTCCCCAGGGTGCTATGGTCAGGGCTTTCATGGTTTGCTCTGGGTGCTGAATCACTCCCTGCTGCCTGTAACCACAGGTCCTCCTTCCTCCTACTGAGAAAATAGCCTTCCTTCTCTGGCTGTATGGCTCACTCTTACCACTGTGATCCCTAGAATCCTCCCAGGCCTCAAGGCTTAGCAGACACCCTTTTTCAAATTGCTCAGAAATTTTCCTTTTCAACTCAAACCTGGCCATGAGTTGTGGGTGGGGAGGGTGAAATGACATGGGAATGGTTGGGGATCAAGGGAAAATGAACACAGTTAAATGCTATTTGTGTGCAAGGTACCATTGCTTAGATTGGACATTGCCTGTTTTAGTATTTAAAAACACACACACACACACATATCAGGTGGTTCTTGGTTCTTGTTACTTTTTTTTTTTTTAGTTTTAAGAGGTTTTTTTGGTTTGTTTGTTTTGAGACAGGGTCTTGCTGTGTAGTTCAGGCTGACCTTGAATTTGTTTATATAAACTAGGCTGGCTTTGAATTCACAGTGATCCTCCTGCCTCAGCCTCCAGAGTGCTGAGATTAAAGTGTGTGCCAATACACCCAGTTTGTTATGTCATAGAGAAGGACATAAGGATCAGAGATTTCGACAATGTGGCTCCAAATTACAAGCAACATGTAATTCTAATCCAGGGCTGACGTTCCAGTTCCCTATCCATTCTACTAGTCACTCAAGATTCTTTAGAGGAAGTGCATGGGGCTGTCAGCTAGTCACTCTGCCTACTGGATGGTTCCCCCACACACACTTCTTTTGTGGTGGCAGGGGTTGAACCCAAGGTCTTTGTAGTGAGCTACATTCTCAGTCCCCTTTTTAATTTTTTATTTTGAGCAGCTAAGTCTTGCTTAACTACTAAGTTGCACAGGCTGAGCTCAAACTTGCCATCTTCCTGCCTTAGAGTGCTGGAATTACAAGCCTGTGCCCCCATAGGTATTTTATCTATTTATTTTGAGACAGAGTACTTAATATGTAAACCTGATATAAGTCGGGCTGGCCTTGAATTTGTGATTCTCTTGTCTCAACCTCCCCAGTGTTGGGATTACAGGTGCGTGCTACTAAGCCATTTCACAGGATTTGTAGATTGAAATGAGTCTGAAAAAATGGGCCCAGGTCAGATCATAAAGAAGTTTGTCGGGGCTGGAGATTTAGCTCAGGGGGCTGGGGATTTAGCTCAGTGGCATAAGCACCTGCCTTGCGAGCAGGCAGTCGTGAGTTCAATCTCCGGTACCAACAAAAAGGAAAAAAAAAAGTTTGTCTTCCAGTAGTAAATGAGAAAGAAGATGGGGCTGGGGATTTAGCTCAGTGGCATAAGCGCCTGCCTTGCAAGCAGACAGTTGATAAAAGTGAAAAAGACAAAAAAAAAAAAATGACAAAGGAGATGGAATTTTGTTAATGCAAGTTGTACTAGCTGGGGAAGGCTAAGACACAGTCAGAAAACAACTTTTCATGTGGCAGATCTCAGTTAACGCCAGCTCTTTCATGTTCACAATTGGCTGGACTGGCACCTCTGGCAACTTTCTGAAGAGAGAATTTCCCCAGAGCACCTCAGCTGGAGGGGTGACCACCCTCACAAGAAGAGGATACACTTGCAGATACTGCTGAAAGCTGGCTTCACGTAGTGGTGAAGAAACCAAATGCCTCTGGGATGATTTTCTGTGTCTATTTCTCTAGACTTAGGTGTGAGTGTTAATAGCAAAAATAACAGGGACCAGAGATATAGCTCAGTGGCACAAATGCCTGCCTAGCAAGTGCAGGATCCAGAGTTCAATTCCTGGTACTAAAAAAAGAAAAAAGAAAAAAATCAAGGAACAAAAATAACAGTGAAGTTCTAAGATAATATGAACTAATAGTTAACACAGTATCGAGCACTATTTATTTACTGAGACAGAGTCTTGCTATGTAGTTAAGGCTGGTCTTGAATTCACCGTGTAGTCCAGGCTAGCCTTGAACTCACAGTGAATGTCCTGCCTCAGCCTCCTGGGTGCTGGGATTACGGTATGAAGCACCCTTCCTGGCTCCAGCTGAGCACTTTAAACACATAATTTAATGCTCACAACAATTCTGTGGGCATAGTATTATTACTTCTTTTTACAGATGGGAGGTGAAGGCCCAGAAAAGCAAACTTGTTACGGTTTCTGGCAGTTGGGATCAGAATACTCCTTCTTGGTTTATGGCCTTAACCATTACAATGTATTGCCTGTGACATTTTGTTTGCCAGCCATCCCTGTGTGTGTGAGACTCAGAACTTTAATTTTTAAAATTTTTATTGATACATGTTTGCAGTACATAATAATATACTCTTCATGAGAAGTTGGTACATGTTCATAACACATCTTTTTTTTTAATTTTTATTTTTTATTTTTTTTTTCATAACACATCTTAATTCTATTTATTTTCCCTTTTCTCTCCTCACCTCCTCCCTCCCTCTCTTATCCTTTTCCCATTTGCAAAAGATCTATCTCTTAGTTTCCTATTATCTTTTAAATTATTGATAGTTTAGTTATTTATATTTTGGACTTCTCTTATATGGGAGGCTGGATGTGGTGGCACAGGCCTATAATTCCAACACTCAGGAGGCTGAGGCAGGAGGATCTCTGCAAGTTCGAGATCAGCCTGGCTACAAAGTGAGTTCAAGACCAGCCTTAACTACATACATAGTGAGGACCTGTCTCAAAACAGAACAGAACAGAACTTTTTAAAGGTACTCAATACTGTGTTCAGTATTAATAAGTTCACATTATAATGGAGCTTCACTGCAATTTTTGTTATTACCACCAGGCTGGGCTATAATGTGAGTTCAAGGCAGCCTAAGTAGCATAGTGAGACCTTGTTTCAAAAAGAAGAGAGAGAGAGAGAGAGAGAGAGAGAGAGAGAGAGAGAGAGAGAACATAGAATATTTAAGCTTGTGTGTCTTATTTCACTTGCCATTATGATCTTAACGTGCACTCATTTTCCTCGTAATGAGTCAAATTTATTTTCCTTTATGGCAGAGTACTACTCTGTGTAAATATCACATTTTCTTTATTGACTCATCTGTCAATGGACATAGAGTTCACTTCCAAGATTTAGCTATTATAGTTGTGCTTGGTATAAACAGGGATATAGATGAGTCTCTCTAATATGATGTCTTTAATTATTTTGGGAAGACATTTAGAAGGGGAGTAGCTGGTTGAACAGAATTTCTAGTGTTAGCGTTTGAGGAATTTCCATTCTAATTTCTATAATGGTTGTACTGGTTTACATTGCCACCAACAATGTAAAAAGATTCTACCCCTGCAGCTGCACCAGCCTTTATTACTATTTGATTTCTACAAGATAGCCATTCTTTGCAGAGTAGGATGGACTCTCACACATTGCTTTAATTTGTATTTGTCTAATGGCTTAGAGATATTGAACATTTTGTTCATATATTTGTTGGCTATTTGTACTACTGAGAAGTGCGTATTCATCTCAGTTGCCCATATTTTTTTCCTGTCTTTTTGAGACAGGGTCTCTCTATGCAGTTCAGTTTTTTTTTTTTTTTTAATCTGCAAATTGTTGAGTTACAGGTTGGTCTTAAACTCACTTTGTAGCAAGGCTGGCCTCTCAGAAGGTTCTCCTGCCTCAGCCTCCTGAGTGCTAGGATTATAGGCATGCACCACTACACCTGGCTGACATAATATTTTGTTGACTGTTGGTGCTAATTCTTGTGCAATTGTTTTTTTTTTTTTTTTAATCGGTACCGGGGATCGAACTCACAACCGCGTACTTGCAAGGCAGGCGCTTATGCTGTTGAGCTAAATCCCCAGCCCTGCAATTGGGGTTTTTATTCAGAAAATTCTTGCCTATGCCCTATGTCTTGAAGAGTTTTACCTATTTTACCTTTCAGAAGATTGTTTCAATGTTTAGATCTTTTGAGTCATTTTGATTTTTAGCATATGGTGAAAGATAAAGAGTCGATTCAATCGTTAGCATGTGCATAGCTAGTTTTTCTTTTTTGTCTTTTTCATTTTTATCGGTACCGGGGATTGAACTCATGACCGCCTGCTTGCAAGGCAGGTGCTTATGCCGCTGAGCTAAATCCCCAGCCCCTCATAGCTAGTTTTTCAAGCAGGACTCAAAACTTCAAAACCACTGCCATTAAACCAGGCATCTGGAGGCTGACACCTGTAATCCCAGCACTCTGGGAGGCTGAGTAGGAGGACCCCAAGTTTCAGTACAACCTGGGCAATTTAGCAAGATTTTTTTCTCAGAAATAAAAAAGTAAAATAAGGCAGGAGAGGTAGCTCAGTGTGAAAGCCTGGGTTCAAACTCCAATACCAAAAACAAGGAAACAAACTTCACATTGCCACTAGGTGATACCTGCCTATGGGGCTTACAGATATGACTCTCCAACATGTTGCCCTATGTGACAAGACATGCATGCTATTATTATCCTTATTTTATGGTGAGGGAAACGACGCTTATTAAAGCCACGAAGTCTGCAGAGTCACACACCCAGTAAGTCAGTGGCAGAGCCAGATGTAGCTTTGACATCTCTTGTGCTGTCAGTACAGTACATGGATTCAGAGCTCCCAAGGGGTGGTGTCACAGGTCTGTAATTCCAGCACTCAGGAAGCTGAGGAAGGATTTCTGAAAAATTCGAGGCCAGCATGGGCTACATAGCGAGTTCAAGACTAGCCTAGACTACATACCAAGACCCTGTCTCAAAAATACCACAAAAAATTTCCAAAGCAAAGCAAAACCAAACCAAACCGGAAATGAGGGCAAGCCATAGGTGACTACACATGCGCACACACCAAGTCCAGTTCAACTGGTGGGCAGTGCCAGCCATGTGTTCCCAGGTGCCCACGCACGGCTAGGCGCAAAGACGAGGCGCGTGGAACCTCTCCAGAGAGTAAGAACTGGCTCTCAAAATGTCACGGGACTTTCGAGTTTAAAAAATGAGGCAAAAAAAAAAAAATGTCACGGGACTAGACCTAGGAAACCACACCTCCCAGAAGCAGCCCACCAGTGCAAACCCTGGTCTGGGGTATGTACTTCCGGGAATATAGGCTTCTGATAGGCTGCGCGACGGAAGTGGGCGTTTCCAAGTGGCGGCGGCAGAGTCTGTTTCCGGTAGCGTTGGTAAATCTATAGCAAGGCCTTGACCAACCACCGTTCTGCACTGAGATTCTGTAGGACTCAGCGGGCAGGTATGGCGGCGGCTTTTCGCAAGGCGGCCAAGTCCCGGCAGCGAGAACACCGAGAGCGAAGCCAGGTAAGACCGCACAGGCCTTCTAGGCTTGCCAGTGGCCCCATGTGCTCTCGCCCCAACCTCCTCCAGGCCCCGTAGATGCTGTACGTAGACACAGTGTGCAGAAAAACGCACAGACTGCTACTGTTACCGGTATGGCTGAGGCTGAGTGTCAAGTGACTATGGTCAGGGATTTGGCCTTTTCTGGTCAGAGAGAGCACTAGCTGCTCCCCAATGCTTGGGGTTAATCAGACCTACCCTGCAACATGTCAGTGAGGGCAAAGCTCAAAGCGCCTGTTGAAGTTGGAGTGCACTTGCACTGCTCAGTTCTGCCTGCTGCCTGAAAGGTCCATGACGGAAGAGATTGGTCACTGATGAGCCGTCATTATGTGTGGGCTTTATGGTTCACGGAAACCTGCCACCTGTGTTTTGGTTTGTGCCTCATCCTGCAACCTTGGTGTTTTCCATCCTCGTTGTACAGATGGGGAAACAGGTCCGGAGAGTTGCTTGACCATTTACGAACATGACATCTCGGCAGAAAAAGCTAAGATTTTGGAGGAGGATGTGTCTGTGTGGAGAGGCTGAGTAGATATAAGCTTAATGCAGAAACAGTTTATCGATTTGACCATTCTCAGTAGCCACGTGTCAGATTTGGAAAGGCCTTTGGAGATAACTGGTCCAATTTCATTTCGCAGCTGGGGCATGCAGCTGTGACTGATGGCATAGAAGTAAAGCCTGTTAAGCCGGGAGTGGGAGCTCACGCCTGTAATCCCAGTACTCGGGAGGATGAGGCAGGAGGATTGTTGCAAGCTCGAGACCAGCGTAGGCTACAAAGTGAGCTCAAGGCCAGCCTGAACTGCATAGTGAGACCCTGTGTCAAAAAGACAAAAAAAAAAAAAATTTTTTTTTTCAATCACAGTTCAGTCTTCCTGACTGTATAGCATTTATTATGCACTTACTGGGCAATTTCTGTCTGCTCAGTAGTATACTAGGAGCAGTAATATAGTTTGTCACCTTGTTTGGGAGAGTATGTATATATAAGACACCTACGATAAGGAAATGAAAGCTCAGATATGTTTTGTCTTTGCCCAGAGACATACGCTATTGTGGCAAGTAGCAAAGACAAAAGTCACATCAGGTGTCTGTGAATACAGCAGCTACCAAAAGGTGAAAATAATGGCGCAACTGTAGAAGAAATGGCACTTACAAAGTGCCAGATCCCAAATATGAATAGGAAGGATAGGGATGATGAGAGCATCATAGTGAAACCTGTTCACCTAGAGAGCAATTTGCCTTTAAAGACAGAGCACTACAAAGGCTAGGCATAGCCCTACATGCTTTACAAGGATTGCCTCATATTTCCACAATGTCCTTATGAAGTGAATTTATCTTTAGTTTACAAATAAGGAAAAAAAAAATAAGGGATCTGGTGCTTAAGGAGACTGAATGGTGTGTCCAAAGACAGTTGCAGTTTACAAGTAGTCGATTTGGATTATCAGAGAAGGGAGAAGGTGTTCAAGGATGACCCTAGCAGTGCTTAAATAGAAATAGGGTTTTGAGGGAAGAGAGAGGAGCAGTCCATGCTGGAGGAAAAGTGAAAATGTTTTCTCCATTTCCCTGTTTGGATACTATGGACCTCATCCTTTGGATCCTTCAGTGAAATTGTGGGGAAGATGTTGCAGGTATTTTCTGTGGAAGGGGAAGAGGTTAAATGTTATGTAAACTACTTCAGATGCAGTATCAAATTTTCTTCTGTATTGCGAATGTACATTCAAGGGGATGCAACAGATTTCATAGTTTCTGCCTGTCATTGTTCTTTTTTCTTGCACCACTCTGTCAGCCTCTCTTCATCTATTATTTTTAAAATAAAAATTACCAGGAAGGGCTGGGGATTTAGCTCAGTGGCTTAAGTGCCTGCCTGGCAAGTGCAAGGTCATGAGTTCGATCCCCAGTACCAAAAAAAAAAAAAAAAAAAAAAAACCAGGAAAGGGGGAAAATAAATGAAAATTACCAGATGTTTAAGGTGTCCTTTTAAATGCTATTTATTATATCATTCAAAAAGTGACAAAAGTGACTGTTAAAAATTCCACCAAAATTATTATGTAAGTTTATTAGAAGTATATGTATTTCCTCTGAGGTAAAAATTGTTCTGAGCACACACTGTGGCCCCAGGCAGAATGGGTTCTAGTGTAAGCTTTGTCACTTATGGGCTCAGTATCCTTTGGTGTATCATTCTCTAACCTTCATTGTCCTTCTGGAAAATCAGTGTAACAATAGTTACTGTTTGTGATTCTCAGGAGAATTGTGCAATGAGGATAGCATATTGCTTGTCAACTGAGCGAGGGCCTATAAGTGTGGTCTATGAAGCTGCTGTACACAAAAGCATCTAGTACAGACTCTGACACATGTTAAGTATTCAACTAGAGCAGCTTGCAGGAAGATGACAGCAAGATTTAATCTTCGAATCCTCGACTGTCTATGTTTGTATCAGTGAAACTGCTGTCATGTTTGCTTTTCACTCATACCTTGTACCAAAGGTACAGTAGCTTGGGCACCTGCTGTGTGGCAAGGCCGGTGCAGATCCTGCCACTTACGGAAGCCCATTGAATCCTTACAATAACTTTGCAAAGTATCCTTATTAATTAACATTTAGGAAACAGCTCAGAGAAGTGAAGTGACTTGTCCAAGGTCACCGATTAGAAGAGAAAGTTTAGATTTGATCCCAGGTCTCCTTATTCTAAATTTAGCTCCCTTACACAGTTGGCTTCTTGTTACTGTTTTCCCTTTGTAGTATTTTGTAAACCCTCGGATTAAGTTGGTAGTAATTTTAGTACAACTGGCAACTGCTTGCTTAGTGCAGAGTCACTGTTGCCTCTCCCTGTCCTTAATAGGCCAAGGAACATACTATGGCAGTGCTTGTGACCTGCCTGGCGCCTGCATGGTCCCTCTCCTGTTTGGGCAGAACCCAGTAAGGGGGTGGGGGGAGGAACAGGGTAGTGGGTTGGCTCCAAGGACACGGATTTACTGACTGCTCCAGGGACTCTTGTTCCCCTCAAGTATCATGTTATTTTGAGCATGTGTTTGCTGAGGAAATTTAAGTGCTGTTTTTTTTTCTTTTGTCTTCTAGCCTGGCTTTCGAAAACATCTGGGCCTGTTGGAGAAAAAGAAAGATTACAAACTTCGTGCAGAGTGAGTCCCATCTTTCTGGTAGAGGTGCTGCCAAGAAAACTTACAGCATTCCCAGACTGTGGCTAAAGTGTCCAGGTGGTCAATGGGGAATCATTTTCTGCCACTGATAAAATGACCAAAGCTCTAGCAACCTGTTGGATATTTTTCTGTGACCCTAAATTTTTCCCTTTGTTTAGACAGAATATTTATTTAACTAGTCACATTGTAAGTTTTTTTTTTATTATGTTGTTCTAGATAATTTTCTTATAGTGGCTTTGATTTGCCTCTGCCTTGGTGTTTGAATCAAAAGCTGACTCTTTGCTCCCTTTTTGTGAAGCGGAAGATGTAATCTAAAACTCTATTCATTGAGTCTCTTACATCACCATGTCAAGATGTGGAATGAAAGATTTGAAAGATGGATTCATGAGACTGAGTGTGGGTGATAATGAACTCTTAAAACATTTCATAAAACAATTATGCCCATTCCTTTTTCTTTAGCAATTCATTTGCAAAATACCTAATTATTTGCTAGTGATACATATCAGCTGATATCTTTGTTACACTCTTGGTGTGGATGTTGTTGATAGATTAAATGGTTCTCTGTAGACCCAGAGATTTTTAAAAATTATTTATTTATTTGTCTTTGAGATAAGGTCTTGATATGCAGTTTAGGCTGGCTTTGAACTCACTTTGGTTTTATTTTTTCCTTGAACTCACTTTGTAGCGCAGGCAGCGATTCTTCTGCTTCAGCCTCCTGAGTACTGGGATTACAGGCCTGCACCACCATGCCCGGCTAGGAAGCCGGAGACTTTTAAGGCTAATAGTAATACTTGAGGGCTATTATCAAACTATACAGTATTCTAGATTTCCAGTTTTTACACTCATCCCAACAGTCTTCTGGGGGTAGGTTAGTGTGACCATGCTCATTTTACAAATGAAATGGGGATGTAGAATGGTTAGCTAACTTGTACAGGATCACTTGGTTAGAAGTGGTGGAATGTAGACTTGAACCCATGTTATGGCTCCCAAGTCCACCATTCTAGTCATTGTGGTACGTGGTACTGTATAGTTTATGACTCATGCTGGTTATTTGGTTCTGAAACTTGTGCCTGAACCCATCTGAGGAGTTTCATGCTTTTTAAAATTTTTATTTGTTTTGGATGTCTCCATAAAATGATGTAAGTGGCTGGGCATGGTGGCTCACGCCTGTAATCCCAGCAGTTGGGGAGGCTGAGGCAGGAGGATCGTTGCGAGTTTGAGACCAGCCTGGGCTACAAAGTGAACTGAACTGTATAGAGACCCTGTCTCAAAAAAGACCAAAAACAAAAAAATGTAAGTGGCACTGAGACACATGTGGGATAGAGACAGTTAATTTCAGGTATCATTGAGATAGGAGTGGACTATTAGGAGTGGACTATAGATGGTAGACACTATGGAGACATGAGTCCACTTCAGTGAAAGTGGATTGTGAATCATCTGCAGTCATTGCTTTGGTGTTTTTGGGTTTCATATTATGTTTTTGTTTTTTGGTACAGGGGATTGAATTCACAACCTCATGCTTGCTAAGAAGGCATTTATGCCGCTAAGCTAAATCCCCAGCCCCTTCAGGTTTTTTTTTTGTTTTTTTTTTTTGTGAGTACTGGGAATTCAATTCAGGACCTTGTGCTTGCCAGGCGGGCGCTGCACCACTGAGCTATATCCCTGGCTATTTTATGTGAACTTTTAGATACTTGTAAAGTTTGCTCAGTGTGTGTGTATGTGTATGTGTTTCAATGAATCTTGTTTCATCTGCTTTTTTAGTGACTATCATAAAAAACAAGAATTCCTCAAAGCTCTTCGAAAGAAAGCTCTTGAAAAAAATCCAGATGAATTCTACTATAAAATGACACGGGTTAAGCTCCAGGTGGGTTTCTGATGGATCATTTGATGTATCAAGCCTCAAATGTGGAAATTAAAGATGGGGAAGAAGGTGGAGAGGAAGATTCTTGGCTTTCAATTAGGTCTTTTCCAGTTGGTTCAAGTACTCTTGGTCAGAGTCCAGGGCAGATTTGCCTCTTCTTGAGCAGCATACGTTTCTCTTTCTATATATGGAGTTGTCTAATGTCTAAAGGTGTTTTCAATAGATAGCTGGTGTTGCGACATTGAATTCAGTACCAACAACCTTGGATTACTGTTACCATGCAACATTTGGTGTTTTTTTTTTTTTTTTTTTTGTCTTTTTCCTTTTCATCGGTACCAGGGATCGAACTCACAACTGCCTGCTTGCAAGGCAGGCGCTTATGCCGCTGAGCTAAATCCCCAGCCCCTTGGTGTTTATTCTAATCATAAGCTATACTAACAATTTATTAATGACTTTATTTTAATGGGGAATGTGTTTTTTAAATTTGGATTTTAGGATGGAGTTCATGTTATTAAGGACACTAAAGAAGAAGTAACTCCAGAACAGCTAAAGCTAATGAGAACTCAGGATGTCAAATATATAGAAATGAAAAGAATTGCAGAAGCTAAGGTAAAAACTCATTCTTTGTTTTGTTTTTATTGGTTAAGAAAGGAATCAAACCTATCAATCTTCAGTTATAAGTTGATTTCTTCTGGCATTTACAGTCTTAAAGTACGGTTAATTGTAGTAATGATTTAGATGTATAGTCAGCATAGTGGAGTGAAGAGCTCAAGCTGAAGAATGACAGGCTAAATTCCGGCTCTGTCATGTACTTGTCCTATGACTATGGGTAGGTTAATCGCTTTGAGGCATTTCTGTCATTTCCATCTCACAGGATTGTTGTAAGGATTGAGTGAGTTTTGTGGAATGCCTCACCCAGTACCAGGACACATAGTTGATGCTTGATAAATTTTAGTGGTTCTTTCCTTTCAAAGAATGAAATTCTCTGCTGGCCAGAAATGATGTGAAATGGTCTAAGCTTCTGCAAATTTATTTCTGAGACTCCAGAAGAAAGCAATTTCAAGTGAGGTATTTTGTGTTCTAGAAAATTGAAAGACTAAAATCAGAGCTCCATCTGCTGGATTTCCAGGGAAAGCAACAGGGAAAGCATGTGTTCTTTTTTGACACCAAAAAAGAAGGTATGATATGTTTGATGGTTTCCGGGAAAGTCTTTTTTTTTTTTTTTTAATTAATCAGTACTGGGGATTGAACTCAGGGCTGCACACTTGCAAGGCAGGTGCTTATGTCGCTGCGCCAAATCCCCAGCCGGGAAAGTCTATTATGTCACTCTGTGTTGTTTGGTGTTAGAGACAGACAGTGACTTAAGGATTATCTTGAATTTTAGTTGAACAGTTTGATATTGCCACTCACCTGCAGACAGCCCCGGAACTCGTTGGCAGAGTCTTTAACAGACCCAAGATAGAGACCTTGCAGAAGGAAAAAGTGAAAGGAGTTACCCGTCAGACTCGACTTAAGGTAATTTTTTCCATTGTGATAGAGTTGGGACTTTTTTTTAAAACTATATTTTATGTGCTTCTCTGTGGAAAAATCCTTGCGTTTCCTTAGAAGAATGTAAAGAGGATCTGATGATTGGGATGGAGAATAGTGAGCAACAGAAAGGCTACCAGACAGTGCGCTGGAGGGTGTATGGTATCTTGTCCTGGTCAGGTGTTTAGGCTCTGGCCAGTAGCTCTGGGTTTGAATCCTAGCTTTGACCCTGCTCTTTGTGGGGTTTTTTTTTGGGGGGGGGTGTCAGGGATTGAACTCACCACCTCGAGTTTGCCAAGCAGGCACTTACACTCCTGAGCTAAACCCCCATCCCGTTCTTTGTGGTTTTAATAGTTGAAACAGATGCCAGCATTTAAAAAAACACCAAACAAGGAGAGGACACTGAAGATTTAGGAATGTGGTATATAGGGCTTTAATAGTAAACTTTTACCCATATTTAATAGGCTTTTATAGTGTGTGTTTATAACGAGAATTTCATATTGACTTTTCCTTATGGTGCTTTCCATCACTGTAACTGGGTTGTGGAGAAGAGATGCTTTTCCTCAAAGCCTTCTGGAGTTGAACTCTCACTTCTGACTGATTCATTTTTAAAAAAATGCTGTCAGTGTGTTTCGAGTAGACAGCTGTTCTGTTTTGATTTGAATCATTTACACCGCATCAGTTTTGCTTCCAATGTTTAATTTCACAGCAGTTTTCTCTAGCTCAGAGGCAGCTAAACTTGCTTTAGTAATATAAATACTCCTAATTAGTTTGACTATATTGGGTAATCCCATAAATTTGACAGTCTGTGCAATAAAGTGAAAACAAAAGCTGTCTGAAACCACTGCTGTGAGACTATGCTAGAATCGGTGAGTTGTTGAAATCTGAGGCCCAATAATATTTCCCTTTATGCAGCTAACACTTCCAGCTGAGGAGTGGCTGACTGGTGTTCTTGTGATAACCCTGATTGTCAATTAGTTGTATTTTCAATTAGCTGTGTCTCTGACACATCTCAAGGATTTTGTGGTAGTCCCTAAGGAGATTAGTATTCCATACTCTTATGTAGAATAGTTTACCATTTTAACTCTTCAGTGGTTAAGATTTGGATCTTGAAATCTTTGTCTAGTAATGTTTCATGAGTTTTGTTTAAAGCAAAATTATTTTTTGCTTTAAAATAAAGGGGGTGAGAGGGAGTGAACAATCCATGATAGGCTTTATGAGGTCTATGAACACCCCTTCCCCCACTGGAATTTTGTATAAATAGGTATATACAGGTTGAGCATTTCTAATCCAAAACTCCAAAATCCAGAATGCTCCAGAATTTGAAACATTTTGAGTGATGCCAAAAGTGGAAAATATCTCACCTGACCTTACTTGATGGTCACACTCAATGTGTAGGCACACTACAAATTCAGTTTAAATGATCTTTAGACTTTGTGTGTAAGGTGTATTGAAACATAAATGAATTTCATGTTTTGACTTGTGTCCCATCCCTAAGATATGTCATTATTTACATGCAGATACCCTAAAACCTCCCAAAACACTAAATTACAACACTTCTGGTCCCAAGCATCTGGGATGAGAGCTATAGGCCCTCTGAAGAAATCCTTCTGTTCTTTGAGTTGTAGTTCTCAGGCACCAGCACACTGCCTGCTCTCTTCGCTGGTGTGTCCTTGCCATCAGCTCAGGTGACTGAGGCACTGGCGCAAAGGTTGAAGCAGTGCAGAGTAGTAGTGGAAATATTCCTGGAATCCCAGAGACTCGGGACAGTCCTGACTGTGCTCCAAGTGAACCTTGTGCCCTTAGGTCAGTTACTTTTTTCCAGGCCTCCCTCATTCTGCATTTGTAAAGTGACAGGTTTTGATAAGATTGTTTCCGAGGTTCTTTTCAGCTCTAGAATGTGATGTTACTAAAACTGACAACTTCATAGTAATTACATTATGTTGATTCTGGGGTAAGAAGGGAATTGATGAAACCATTTATGCATTTGGGCTTAAGTGGTTTAAGAATCAGTTTCTTGCTCTTTTGTTTGCTTTGTTAATTGTTTTACTGAAAAGATGTGTTTCTTCTGTAGCGGATAGCTAAAGAAAGACAAAAGCAGTATAACTGCCTGACACAGCGGATTGAACGAGAGAAGAAATTGTTCGTTATTGCACAGAAAATTCAAACACGCAAAGATCTTATGGTGAGGAGAGAGAGCCTTAGGCCTTTCTTTTTCTTTTCTTTTTTTTTTTTTCTTGTAAAGGTCTTAACTGAGACTGGATTTCAGCTGCGGTAAATCAACCCACTGAAAATGTCTGCTCCTCAGGGGCAGTGGTTTGAGCCAGTGTCTATTGCTCTGACAGTGTTGAAATGTTCCTTGATTAAGAAGGTAATAAGGGGGTTATTAGTCAGTGCCTTGGAACAGCAAAGGGTAGGATCAGGTAGCACATGAACTTTATAGCTTATGAGCAGCTCCCGTAACATTTAAACAGGTTAACAAAACAGTGCATGTCACTCATTGGTGTTTAAAAATAGACAACATTGTGTAGTTAAATAGCAGAGCTAAGGAATATAAGATGCCTCTTTCATATTATTATCATTCCTCTAAATGTCAAATTTTTTAGCCTTGCAGATCATTTGGGTCAACCTTTCTCAACTGGGGTTCCGTGACAGAATTAAAATTATAATTTTAAATAAAACAATTATTTGAACACCTTTCTTTTTAATTTTCCCAAGGACTGTACATAGCTAATAGCATCTGGATGCCCAGAGGGAAAGTTACGGACAGTGGATTCCTGGGGCATTAGGGCTCTGGCTTTTCTGTACTTTGAGAAAGGCTGTATTAGCGGCTTTCTTGTTGGTAGTTCATTAACCTTCCTATTTTACAAAACCTGTTTACTGATGATCCTTTTTTTTTTTTTTTTAATAGGATAAAACTCAGAAGGTGAAGGTAAAGAAAGAAACTGTGAATGCCCCAGCCATTTATAAGTTTGAGAGTCGTCGGAAACGCTGAAATGTTACAGATAAACCTTATCTTTTGCATCAAAAATAGTTCAATTGTTGGTAGTAACTTCAAATTGCTTTAGTTCAAATGGCCTGGCTTTCCTGTTTACAACCATGATTTATTATTGATCTGATGCCTTTCTGTGAGCAACATGAAAGCCTTTTCCCCCCGTCATTGATTTTGGTTTGTGAAATGAGTCTTACTTTTTATACAGTACTTACATTTTTTTTTTTTAACTATGAAAGTTATCTCATTACAATAAAGTAGAAAATAGATGAATTGGGGCTGGGGATTTAGCTCAGTGGCATAAGCGCCTGCCTTGCAAGCAGGCAGTCGTGAGTTCGATCCCCGGTACCGATAAAAAAAGAAAAAGACAAAAAAAAAAAATTAAAAAAAAAAAAAAAAAGAAAACAGATGAATTTATTTCTAACTTCAGTACTTGTTCAAGAACAACAAATACTGGGTACTGGGAACAACAGTAAGAATTCTGGTTTACTTTCTTCATTTTATAAAGTATATTCATTTTTATTTATATTTTTTGTGTTTTATAGCTATAATTTTAATAAACAATCTTATACCCCAATTTTTAATTAAATCATTTCTGTTATATCACTGAATTTTTCAAAAGTAATATAATAAAAGTTAAAATACTCATTTTTATGATTGTTTAGTGTTCTATCCAGTGGATAAATTGACTTGTTCTTTCTTCTTTCTTTTGTTCTTTCAAGACAGGGTCTCACTATGCAGTGCAGGCTGGCCTTGTACTCACTTTTTGCCCAGGTTGGCCTGAAGTCACAAGAAGTCATGTGGTGATCCTCCTGTCTCAGCCTCCCAGTTGTTGGGGTTACAGGAGTGTGCCACCATGCCCAGCTCCTCATTTATTGTTTTATTGGTTATTCAGGTGGTTTCAAGGGTGAATTGTTTTCTTACATCTTCACTAAGAATTCTCAGAGGCTACCAATTTTTCATGGATGACGCTCAAATCAGAATGTATGAGAACTGGCTTCTGCCCTTGGCTACTCATGATTCCAAGGCCATAGGTGTCTTCACCCTGAGAATGCAAACCCAGGCCCTGTGAACCAGCTTCCTTCTCTTCCCGGGTCCCACCCTTTCCTTCCCACCCATATAGGGATATCCGCCAAGGCCAGTTGGGACAGGACTGAGCATGCTTGGAGTAAATGTGGGAGAATAGGGAGCAAGGCTCTAGGAGGCTTGCTCAATCTCATCACCTCAGTGGGAACAGTTCTACATGGATTTGAAGAATTACAAGAAAGATTGTTAATAAGTACCCATGACTGTGAGGTTCCTATATATAACCTAAGGCGAAAGAAAGTCTTTTTCCTCTTAGTGCAGCCAGCAGACTCACATCTGGGTGTCCTGAAAAATGAGACGGTCCAGAAGAACAGACGATAGCTTTTGCTTTCCAAAAGGAAGTGCTCCCAGCCTGAACTTCCTTCTGGGGAGGTGCTGGCCTCAGCTAATGTCAATAGTCCTGGGCAATTTGAGTACCAAGCCAGGCAAGGGACCTGTCAGAGTGATATTAGAGCTTGGGAGTGAGAGGAGGCTGGAAGAATTTTAAGGTAGTGCATGAAAGATCACATATCATTATACACTGAGGAATGAACGGACTAAGCAGTGATCTGTTCTTGGGTTCAGCAGCTAGATCCTGCTGCTCTCTCTCTTGGTCCTGCTTGGTAGGAAGAGGGGAGAGGCTAGAGAATGTACATAGAGGCCTTCTGATAAAGTACACCCACATAAGACTCACATTCACAGATGTTCAAGGCACGTGTAACTCTGGTCTTGTCTCGTAAAGAGGTGTGGGCACACTCACATATCTTAGACACAAATGAAAATGCTTAAAGGCATGTGCACAGGCCAAGGGAAGCAGAAAAAGGAAAGCCTATCATGTTGATCAGGTAAGAAGATGAGGCTAGATGACCTGAATTTCTGTGACATGGGGCTGTCTCTGGGGCCTAAAGATTCCAGTGGAAGAGACTGGCTTCCCTCTTGTGACAGCCTCAACCAGTTCCAGCCTTATGGGTCCTGAGATCAATCCAGGGATTTTAATCTTTAATACGCTGTCTTACCCCAGATTCCTGGCACACTGGGAAAGGAAAAGGCATTGTTTCTTTCGAACCCACACCTCAAGATTCAGAGGACAGTTTGGGCTGTTATACCAGTCTGGCTGCGCTGAGGACTGGGCAGCCTGTAGAGTGGAGGCTACTCTGTGAATCAGGACTCTTGTTTGGTTCAGGTCTCCTGTATGAAACATCTCCAAGACAGTAGCTATGTGGACCCTGTAGATTCTCCAGGTCTGCCCAAAAGACAATCAGTTCATCTCAGTCTTGGTGACCTCATTTTAGGATTCTTTTGACAAAGCAGGAGAACGTCAAGCTCTTACTTTATTTACCAGGAAGAATCCTTGATTCCTGTATGTAGAAGAAACTGATTCCCAACAACAGGGTAGGAAAGGGCCCAGCAGGTGGAGCTGCTGTCCCTCTGCTAGGTTTAGGTTTCAGCAGGCTGGTGTCCACCCACTTAACATACTTTGCCTGTCTCAGAGCTGCATGTTCTCTGGAGGTGCTTAGTGTGGATGTATTTATGAGTTTGATGCCATGGGGGAGAGCCCTCATTAATAAAGGAGAGTCTTTTCCCCTGAGCTTAAGATTCACATGGCCCCAAGATGAATGGGGAAGAAAGTCTTCCTGTTTCTAGTAAGGACTGTGTAGGGAGCACTGAGATCTTTCCTAGGGTTCTCACAGAACTTCAGGGTTCCCATAGGGTGGTTTCACCAGGACATGGTAGGGGTCTCGCTCCATGCATTTTTGAGGGTTGCTCTGTGTCTTGCAGTCTCCTGGTACTGTAGGCTGTGGAGCACTGAACAATTAGAGCTGCTTGTCTTCCAGCAGGGAAGGCAGCCAACAGACACTGCTCACTCTGCCTGCCTGTGGAGGCTGGTGAAGCCGGGACCTGTTGGGACTTGAAACAGTGAGACAAGTAGCTGTGTGGTGCTGGGCCCTCTTCCTCCTCAAGTGTATGGCCAGCCAGTTCCCGGAGCCTCCTGCAAAGGGCGTTGGGGAAGGGCGGGTCCAACCTTGGGTGGGAGTCCTGGCCTGAAGCCTTGAGTGAGTGGAAGAATTGGGGGTGGATCTGAAATCCTGTCTCAGGGCTGAGCAGGCAGGTTTCTTGGACCTGTACAGCCGCCTCCTGGGGTCAGAGGGTACGTTGTCTCTAGCCAGCCAGGTCATGGGGCCTCCCTACTGGCAGGTCTTCCACTGGCCCTATGGGAGCAGGAAAGGTAGAGTAAATAGCTGCAAAATAAGATGAAGCAGAGCTTCTGTTCCTAGGTCCATGGCTGAAGACATCCTCTCAGTAGAGCTCTTGTCTAGCATGGGTAAGGCCAGGGTTGCACCTTTAGCGTGGCAACAAACAAAAAGTCTGTCGCTGGGACTTAGGAGACTAGAAGAGGCTGCCCAGTTCATGCTTCTACTTGCTTTTCCCTAACTGCCCTGGTCAGAGGAAAAACATCTCTCCTGTTTTTCAGACTCCGTATAAGGAATTGCCCTGCTCATGCTTCCAGGCTCCCTGTGGGATGTCCTGTCCCTGGTGTCTTAGCCTCCTCATCCACTTTGTCTGCTTCAGTTGATGGCCCGCTGATGGCAATTGCCATTTCCTCTCATGTGAGGGAGCAAGGTGCTGGGTGGTTGTATAGTCTGGAGCCCTCTGTCTCTCTGGGGTGCTAGTGGAGGCGGGTCCCAAAGAACCCAGGCCCAGCTACTTTCTAGGCAGGGGATTGCAGTGTTTGGGGCCAAGACGAAGGTGGGAAGGAAGCCCTTTCCTCTGTCACCTGATGGCCACGCTCAGATCATAAGTGTTAATGAAACCATGGTGCCCTGAGGCAGCTGGGCACCCCCCTCCACAGCCCTGAATCAGCCTGACTCATTTACAGCTTTCTCCCAGTTACCCCAAAGGCTTCTCTGAGGTGAGGAATGTAGGGGGTTGGTTTCGGGTTTCATGTGTTTCATGTTTTCACATTACTGAGTGGAAAAAAAAAAACCTTTCTAAACCAAAAAACCAGCTTCTACAGCAGAAACGACTTGCCCTCAGAGCGCTGGAAATTTCCCCATCTTCTCTCCTTATCTGCTCAGAGACACCAAGACCAGAGACTGAGGGGTTAAGAGGAGGAGGCTGGAGCCAGGCTGAGCAGCTTTAGGGACAGCCCCTTTTGAGGCGGCAGCATCTGCCTTCCTGCTTCAAGGGAGGGGAAGACCTTTGCAGGGTCTTCCAGCTGTGCAGTCTTAAGTGCCTAGTGGTGGACTGCCACGGTGGTGGTGGCGTGGGACAGTCGGCTCAGGAGAGGGAGGGACCAGAGAAAAAAGAGATATCTCCCTTCCCTATATAATTTGATCCCAGGAGGACTAGGACAAGTGTCTTCCCTCAAGAGGGCTCTTTAGGTGGAGAAATACAGGGTCCATCTGGCATATGGAGGCAGGGAGGTGGCACTCCCTCCTATTCCTGGCTGGTTGCATTCTAAACCGCCCCCCCGCCAGGGGCAGATGGCCTTCATGGCAGATGGAGACTAGGCCAGCAGTGGCCGGCTGGGCTTTCCAAGTCTCAGCCTGGCCTCTCTGGCTAATAAGACAACTGGAGAGGTAGTGACAGTAGTAACTGTGTGTGTGTGTGTGTGTGTGTGTGTGTGTGTGTGTGTAGGACAGGAAGTCCTGGACTTGTTGGGCCTTTCTAGGGGAGAAGTAAACAGGAGGCCCCAGATGGAACCAGTGGATCTTGGGAGTACACTCAAGTTCGCTGAGGACGGGTGGCAGGTGCTCTGGGCCCAACACTGCCCACCTGCCCAGGCTCTTGGTACTGTGCTGCTTAGTTCTTCAGTGAAGGGGGATGGTCCCTGGGGTGGGAGGCGCTTCTGTAGCTGAAGCCTGACCTGCTAGATGCAGACCCCCTCCCGGGTGCCCAGAGCACAGGGTCTGGGCAGTAGCTCCTCTCAGAGGATGTGCCGTTTATTATGCTCTCCTGCTCCCTCACTGCTCAGGCAGGCATCGGCCTTCATTAGTGGAGGAGCTGGGGTCTGTTTTGGCTGCCTCATCAGCATCAGTGAACTGCGTCCCTGCGAGATTTGATACAATTTAATTAACCTAATTAAAAGCTCTGATTGCAGAGATGATTGGGGTAGCGCCAGCAGCGACTGCATATTTATAATGAGCTGCAAGGTGTGGGACCGCAGCCAAACGCCACGCATCCTAATGAGCGGGAGCCGGGAGCCAGGGAGCGGGAGAGGGAACGTTTATTTTTGGCAACAATGCCCAGTTCCTCCCTGCCAAGGAGTCAGAGACCCAGGGAGCGGAGACGGACCTGCCTACCACGCTCTTCTGCACAAGGTGGAAGCAGACGTGTGTGCTTTCCATGCGTTTTGGGGCCTTTGGACCTGCCCCAAATCACAGGGCCTGTGTCTGTGTGCAGAGTCCGGGGCCAGAACCCAGCAGGGCACTGTTCCTGCCACTCTCAATGTCTGGGAGCCAGGGGCTGTTTTTGAAACCTAAACCGTGAGCCCTCCTGGTCTGAGGAAGTCCCAGTTGAACCTCTTTATTTCTGGCCTTCAAGATTCCTCAGCTGTTCTCTTAAACTTACCAACGAAGACT